CCGCACCCTGGTGGTGGTAAGGCACTCGGGCGCACGCGAATGCCCCTTCTCTCCACGACTGCACCACGTGGTCCCCGGAGGCATTTTGGAGCCACAGAGCAGCCAGCAAAACGTTGAAACCATAGGCTGTTCTCCTCCTCCCCCTCCTCCTCCTCCTCCTCCTCCTCCTCCCCCTCCTCCTCCTCCTCCTCCTCCTCCTCCTCCTCCTCATCCTCCTCCTGTGATTCGGAAGCGCAACGAGTGGGAGGCGAGAGGGGACAGGCCTCCTAAGAAGGCGGCGGGGCTTCGCACCAGGCTCAGAGAGTTTCTCAGCAGGCTGGATGCCTCCTGAGCCTTCTGAGAAGGCCCGCCCCCTCTGCCTTGCCCCCCGGGCGCGCCGCCAAGTGATCCCCGCACCCCTCGTGGCAGAGGCCAGGCCAGAGGGCAGATGCAGCCCCGGAGCGAGGAGCCCAGCCAGAGCTTGGGCGCGGTGCTGTCTCGACGAGCCTCCTGGCCGCTGCCCCGAGGGGATCCGTGGCGCCTCAGCCCTGTGAAGCGCCTGCTCGTCAATTTAGCGAAGGGTCGACCCCTCGGCAATTCACAGACGGGGCCCGAAGGACGAGAACCTCAAACAGTGAAGCTTCAGCTTGTGATGTGTCCCCTGTCCCTGGGGCCCATCCCTCGGGGCCCCATCATGGAATCGCCGAGTTCCACCCCCAGCGGAAGCCGTCGCCATGTCGGCATAAGCCGACGGAAATGAAACGAGCGGCTTCGCCAGTGGGAACTGGCGGAATCTTGGCGGAAGCCAGCAGTAGTGAAATTAGACCCGAAGAGACGCGTTAGTGCCGGTATCTTCAGGGTTTCATGGGCAAGTTTTTTCGGCCTGGTCGTGGACGCAGGGGGAGCCATTATTTCACAGAGTCCTGCCATACCCAATTAGGCGCAAGCGCCGCGAAGCCAGCACTCTCCATATTTTCCTCCTTCTCCTGGACCTTCCCTTCCAGTTCCAGCTCAAGCTGCCGATCCTTCTCCGAAGCCGTCGCGGCACCAAGCATCACTGCAGCTCAAGTCATGGGTTGAAGCTGCCTTTGTGGGCGAGTTGATTGTTGTGTTCGGTGCTACTTCCAATGGCACTCACTCCTCGCCTCGTAACTGTAAGCTGCTTCGGCACGCTGATGCGAAGAGCCAGCTCCCGTGGAGAGCAATACCAGCAGGCATTTCGAAAGGCTTTCCCAGAGGACGCACCTGTGCCATCGGCAGCCGCCCTGTCGCAAAGCTACAGGAAAGCCTTTCGAGAGCAGTCTGCCGCGGCACCCAACTTCGGTAAGGGGACGACAGGAGGCTCCAACATCTGGTGGCATGATGTAATGCGGTCCACCTTGATAGGTGCTGGTACCCCTTCGCTTGTTTCGGCACCCGGATTTGATAGTGCTTGCGATCATTTGTACAACAATTTGCACGAGCAGTGGGAGCTATACCCGACGACGGTTCCAGCGCTGAACAGTTTGCGGTCTTGGTGTGATCAGCATGATTGCCAACTCGGGGTAGTAGCCAACATGGATGGTCGGCTTCCAGAGTTCCTGCAATCGTTCGGCATTGCTCAGAACTTCAATTTCGTCATCAGCTCCTACGACTGTGGATTTGAGCAGCCCGAGCCGTACATCTACTACAGCGCGCTGCACATGGCATCCGTACCACCGTCTGCGTTCGCAGAGGCAGGGTCAGCGCCAGCCCTTAATTGTGGCCACCTTGCTATGGATGACCTTCACGGTGCGTTAAGTGCAGGCTTTGCAGCTCTGCTTGTGAACCCAAAGTTCCCCACTTTGGGTCCTCTCCAGCAGATGATAACGGAGTGGCAGGCGTGCGCTGATACAGCTACTCGTGCTTGGCATTCGCCGCATTTGGGCTTCACAACGAGTTTGCTTGCCATTTGATTGTGCTGTATCGGTGGTTGGTGTTTGCATGATTGTACGCTCATTTGGTTCTGGGCGTTGTGAGGTGTGCTTCCTCTAGCATGAGCTCGTGGTGTTGCGTGAAGTTGCTCTTTTCATGAAGTGATGTATCTGAAAGTCGGGCGATTGCTTGAGCTGAAAACTGCGTCGTTGACATAGAAACGTTCCGTTGTACTCATGTGTTCCATATGAGATCGGGCCCTTGTTGCAGCCAAACGGGCGAAGGCCTTACATCGCAAACGTCGCTTGACGACGTCTAGATTGTTAGCTTGCCGAAGCGTACCCGTCGCCATTATACAGTGCATGCACCAGGGTGTCCGACTAGTGCAACAATGTGTTACAAAAAGGCCAAACCACAATGACCCGATGTCATGCAGCTAAGGGTACAAGTAGGAGTGCTTCATGTAGCAAGAGTCGTATTTTGCAAGGCACGCAACACTGATCAACTACGGCATGGCGATGTATCGGTTGGGTTCCAGATGAACCCATATAAGACAAGGTGAGTTGGGCCAAACTAGCAACATATGTTCAGAAGTTCCATGTCGAAACGCATGTCGCTTCGGGTACGGACCGCCAGATTGTGTAACGTATTGAAGTAGATCGGGTCGAGACCCATTTGAGCCGATCTGTGGATCGTTGGGCGACCCTCTGGTTGTGGCTCTTCTCGAGCCGCCCGCGTCTTCCCGTCTGGGTCGTGTCCTGTGGGCTCTTGGGCCCCTCTTGGACCTTCTGTGGGCCTTCGACAGCTTGCGCCGGGCCGCTCTAGGTCAGCTTTGGGAGAGTCTCTGGCCGTCCCCAGGGCCCTCTTGGGACCGCCCTGGGCCCATCTTGGGAAATCGTGGTGCCATCTTGGACTGTCTTGGGCCCCTGTCGAGGCAAAAAGGCGAGGGTGCCGAAAGCATTTGAGACATGCCAGCTCGAGGTGCTTTTCCATATAAAAACCTTTGAAGCTGCCCTGGGCGCATCTTGGGCGGTTCCAGGAGGATCTTATACGTGTGGTCTCTCTGACTGGTCTGCTCGATGTGGCCCGTCTGGCCCACGCCCCAACTCCCAGGGCAACTCAGGTCGGGACCTGATTCGTGGGACCTCATTTGCCACACCTCCACACCTAGGACAAGCAAGGCCAGAGTCCCAGTGGCAAGATTGGCGGGCGGGACCGTATTGACAGGCGCCGTGACATCCAGTTCTTAGATCAACAGCGGTCGGACCTAACGGGCTCGACATCATGAGCAGGATATTATTCGTTGGATTTTGTGGTCGGGACCCCATGCAATTGTGGCAGCACCCTAACACCCAGGGCATCTCAGGTTTCGGCCCCAGGGGCGAGACCGGCCACACTCGCATCAAGGGCAGCAAGGGCGGGAATTTGATGGGCAACATTTTACGAGCGGGACCCGATGGGCGAGACGGATCCTCCGCAACCACGGCCACGCCCCCGCACCTGGGGCAGCTAAGGCCTGAACCTTGGGAGTGGTTTTATGAGCAGGCCCGTTTGGGCGAGAACCTATGAGCGGGACGTTCTGGCCAACCACGGCGAGACCCTCACAACCATACCTGATTCGCCATACGCAAAGCATGAAACCAATCGCGCAATTTTGCGGGGAAGAGCTGCCAGTCGGGAGGTGCGCTTGTGAGGGCCTCCGCCGCTCGCTGCCTTCGAGGCTCACGGAGCCCGGCGCCCAGGAAGTTGGCTCCCTCATTGGAGTGCTGGCCATGGAAAACAGTCATCACATTGGACTCGACTTGAATGATGCTGCGCGTGGACCCTACAGAGTGAAGGGTCTAAAGGGGCGCTTGACGCCAGGACAGTACGAGCAAAACGTGATGGGCGGGCACCAGGCGGGACCCTCTTAGTAACCAGGCAGCACCCTGGGTCATTCGGGCCAGGGCCCTGTGGGCGGGAACTGGTGGGCGGGCCCCACAGCAGCAGCTCCACACCCAAAACAAACAAGTCCAGGAGCCAGTGGGTGGACCAAGATGAGCGGGACCCTATGGGCAGGCCCCTAACGACGAGATCATATGAGCATGACCCCATCGGAGCGACCGCGTGCGGGTGATTACACGCAGCCGCCGCAACACCCGGACACCCATGGCAACCAAGGCTAGGACCCCACGGGCGAGACCCGATTGGCAACCAGGCAGCACCCAGGGCAGCGAAGGCCGGGAACCTATGGTCGGGACCCTACGCAGCGCCGGCCACACCTTTACACCCAGGGCAAGACCGGGACCCTATGGGCTGGACACTATAGAGAAGACCTGATCGGCACGCCTATATGGGCGGGACCCCATGAGCGGACTCATCGTCGGAACCCCATGAGCCAGACATTATGCGAGGGGCCCACTGTAACAACGGCCACACTCCACACCCAAGGCAAATAGGGCTGTGACCTTCTGGGTGGGACCCCGAAGCCGGGACTTTCTGCGACCACTCACGGGCAAACCCGCACACACACACACACAGGGCAAGTAAGTTTAGGACCTTATGAGCGAAACCTTGAACGCGGGAGTTTGCGGCCAGGCACGGCGAGACCCCGACACCATACCCAATTCTCCACATGCCAATCTAGAACATGGTAGCTCACGCATTGCTTTGGAAACGAAGCTACAGAACATATTTCTTTCCAGGCCAGACGGGGAACACTTCTCTTTTGTGCTGAGTGTCTTGCTCGGGTCCCCGGGCTCCTCGCCAAGGGTCGCGGCTTGTGCCTAGCGGGGCCAGCGGCGTGAGCGATGGCGAGGATCGGCTGGGATCGGCCAAGCGTTGCATTGGGTTCGTGCCGCTTTCTCGTGATGGCATGTTGCGCCTTACATAGGCATCCTTCTTTTGCCTTCTGTGCGCATTCCATGTGCACCCTCCATTGCGGTCATCAGTTCCAGAAGACGATCACTTGCCTTTCAGAGAACGGCGCCCCGCCGAATAATAATTGATATGCCCCCCCCTGTCTGCCAGGGACACATCGGGTACTTCGTGGGGTGGTGCAGTTGTCTCGGGGAGTCGTGGGGCCGGTGCGGGCACTTCCTGGGCGGCTTGGGGTTGCAGCGGGCTTGTCCCAGGACATTCCAGCTCAATGTACCTGATCGCGGGGAATCCGTCTAGGGCGTTTCATGACCACCAAGGCCAAAATTACATACGTGCTTAAACTTCCCCCGTCAAGAGACCATCAGAAGCATGTGCGAGGATACGGCACGGTACGGCGTGGCATTGCAGATAGCACGGAACGGTTCCATAGATCGTGCCATAGGTTCCGTTTTCGTCCGCCCGTCTGAACTGTGGTTTCGTCCGTTCCGTCCAGATTGCGCTATAGGTGTTGACATATGGCCCGACGGAATCATGAGTTGGTTCCCTCTGTCTAGCTTGCACCATGGGTTGCGCACGTCGCTCTGCGTCATACACCTTAGGCGATGCTTAAGAAAACCTAAGTTTTCGGCCAGAGTCTCGATTATTCTTAACGTTTCAATGTAAATCCTAAGATTTGAATGGGCATTCTGGGTTTTTATTTAAATTCTGAGACTATCAATTTCTTAACCCATGATTTCTAAAGCATTTCGCAGGGTGTATGTGGCGCCCACTTGAAAGCACTGTGCCAGCACTCGCAGTGAAGGAAAAATCACGCACGAGCCACTCGTGCGCAGGTTTTGCGCCACAGGCTGCGTGCGGCGCGCGCTCCACGGAACCGCGCCCTCGTCGTTCTTATTTGGGTTTCGCCAGGTTGCGCGTGGCACTGAAAAAAAAAAAAAAAACAAAAAAAAAACTTTGTTGTTTGTTTTTTTGTTTTGTTTTTGTTTTGCAATCACTGCGTGTTTTTTTTTTTTGCAATCCTTCGCCCAAGGGAATCGCGAGTTGGTCCTCTCTTGTCTGGGTTGCGCCAAATGTAGGTTGAACCGTAGATTCCGCGCGGCACATGCGCAGCGTCGCTCGTTTAAGGAACAGTTGGTTTCCAGGGCGGTTCGAGACTGCCAGGGTCGAAGCAATGTGTAGAAAACGTGATGTGCGATGATGCGTCCAGCACCCCAGGGTTTCTGACAAAGCGCCTCAGGGCGTGACCTGAATGCTCGCAGGCCCATCCAGAAAGACTCCAGAATCCCAGATGGGCAATGTCTGGTCGGATCGACCCGTCTCGACGCAATAAAAAACATGTGGTTGGTATTGAGAAAGATCCCATACCCACGAGAAGGAAAGTTTGCATGTTCGTGAACGGGCGCCTTGGTCCCCTCGCCACGCTACTGAACGTGTCCAATTTCGACGATGCCGGTCCAGAGCGAAATTGGTCCAGAGGAAGGCGCAGATGTTCCGCACGCTTGGTGACCCGGCGAATGCGGGAAAGTTGAGGTAGATTTAGGCCGAAGGCAAGTGCAGCGATCTCGTTTACGACTGGCCGCGGAAATGATTAGGTCGAGATGAGTTGACGGAAGTTGGGCTTACAGCGGAGGCCCATGCCCAGAAACACTTTACGTGCCTCCAGGGTGCCCTGGGTTTCTTGGGTTTTGAGGGTTTTGCGATGGAGAGCGTGACGTCCCCACGCCAAGAATCGGTGGACGCCCTGGGGTCTCAGGGTTGGGCTTCTTGTGGAAGGTCTCTTGTGCTCGAGCCCCTGCTGTAGACTGGTGCCGAGGCATGTGAGCGTAAGCCAGACTACCGTGTGATTCACAATCGGCAGGCTGTGGGCCGGCAGGGGCGCGCTGCCTCGCCCCGTGGTCGTCGCTTGCGGTGCAATTTTCAAGGGCGCCCTCGAGGGCGCGAAGTTATTCGCGCTTCGCGCTTCGCGGTCCTCGTTCCTTCTCCCCCTTCTCCTCGTCCTCCTATTCTCCCTTTGGGAGGGCGGCGCGAGAGCGCGAAGTTATTCGCGCTTCGCGCAGCGCGAAGCGCGAAGTTGGGAGCCCTAGATTTTGTTCGGGGTGCCCATCTCTGGAGCGGGTCTTCCCTTTTGGCGGTGTCGCTTCGTTGCGGATCCTCTTCACATCCCCGGGTGTCAAGCGACGACGACGATGACGACGAATGATGGTGGGATATTTTTGTTCGACGGTTCGAAAAGGTGTTTGTGCTGTAGGTTTGTGGACGTTTCGCGTGACCCCACCAGCCCAACCAGAGACGATGCCCAGAGGAGTTGCCTCGATCAGGATGCACCCGGAGGAAGGGCCCCTCGTGGAGCGACTTGGGTGCCTCGGGGAGCCCCTTGGGACCATCTTGGAGGAGATCGATGAAAAAGGTGGGAGTTCTACTTACGTAGCCCCCTCGGGAACCCCGAAAATCGCATTTGGGACCCCTCTTGGGGCGCTTCTGGAGCGCTCCTGGGCGCTCTTGAGGCCGTTTGGGGACTCTCTAGGGGCCCTCTTGGAGCTGTCTTGAGGCCTCGGAAGGCCATCGAAAGCAAAAAGCTGGGAAGACCAAATTCATTGATTTACATTAGATGTTGAAAGACTTTGAGCCTCTCGGCGGCCTCCTGTGGAGATTATGTGGCTGGAGCCGTCTTGAGGCGGACTTGGGGCCTCTAGGAGCATATTGGGAGCCATCTGGAGCCATCTTAGGCTATCTTGAGCCACCTTGGAGGTCATCTTGGGCTCTCCGAGGCCCTCTTGAAGCCATCTTGGGCCATCTCGGACGCTCCAACGCCTCGCCAGACACCCCTCCAGGTCCAGGGGAGCGGGTAGGGGGAGGAACAAACCCTTCCCCGAAGGAGAAGAAAAGGGTTGGAAGAGAAAGCTCTCTAGACCACCTACGCCCAGAGGGCTGGTCGGATTCATAGCCATTTTGGTTCGGAGCGTTCCACAGGCGTGCTGGCCGCGCCAGTGCGCAAGCCTGGCTGCTGTCGCGACGGCGCGCGGTCGCTCCGCCAGCCTGTAGCGATCTGCCCGCGAAGGGGCGCCATAACTGCGGCTGGCGCAGCGGCTGGGGGGGGCGAGTGCGCAGCGGCTTGGCCCTCCACCGCCACCCAGCGGCGGGCGCGATGGGCAGCCTTGGCTCGCAGGCGCTCAAGCACAGCCGCCGGCGCTCCGCCTGGAGGGGGGCCCTGCTCGCGGCCTGGGCCGTGCTCGCGGCGGCGGCCCTGCTCGCTGCCGCGGCCATGCACGCCGCGAGCCCCCAGCTGCGCCCCGCGGTGGCCGCGGCCCTCGCGCTGCTGGGCCTGCTTGCTGCCGTGGTCGTCCGTGGGGGCAGGCGCTCGGGCGCTTGGCAGGGCCCAGCGCCCCACAGCGCGCCTGGCCTCGCTGCCGACGCCGACGCGGCCGAGGGCGAGGACTCCGACAACCCACCGTGGGATGGAGCGGCCGGCGTGCCGGGCTGCATCTACCACGCGATGCACGACACCTTCGAGGTCTTGCAGGCGCGCTTGCCTGGGCTCGTCGCACAGGGCTTCGACGCTGTCCAGCTGCCGCCGGCCCAGCGATGCACTCCAGGTGATTTACGCGAGGAGTGGTGGCTACGGTACCAGCCTAGGAGCTACGGTGCCATTGACCCCGCGCTGGGTGGGGAGAGTGGCCTGCGCCAGCTCTGCGCGGAAGCGGCAGCGCTGGGGGTCGCAGTAATTGCCGACTGCGTGTTCAACCATTGCGCTGTGGTGGCGTCTCGCGAGGAGTGGGAGGCGGCGCAGCATGACGAGGGCTTGCTGGAAGAGCTGAAGGGAAGGCTGGACACCGCTTTTGGCCCAGAGCTCTGCCGTGACGACTTCCAGTTCCCGTGGGTTGCTCTAGAGGGCGACAAATGGGACGACCCTCGGTTCACCTACGAGGGTTGGGGCTGCGGCGAATGGAGCGAACTTCGGTGGTCTCCAAAGGTGTTGGCGCTACACTTCCAGCACCTCCGCCTCCTCCTCACCTGCGGCGTGAGAGGGTTCCGGTTTGATGCGGCCAAACACATGAGGCCTGCGCACGTGTGCGAGTACGTGAGTTTCTTGCGAAAGGAAGGCGCCGCCTTCGTGTACGCCGAGGTCCTCTCGATGAATAAGGACGTACACAATCAGTACACTGAGCTCAGCTGCCGTGGTTTCCCGGTGCTGTCGACAGACTTCATCGCGGCCTCGCAGCTCCACGCTGCGCTCCGCGGCAACGGCAGCGGCGGCGGCTGCTGCGCACTCCCTCGCCTAGCAGGTGTCGATCGCCTCGGCCTCGGCGGCCGTGCGGTGCGCTTCGTGCGGAACCACGACACGGTGCTGAACGCGGGGGAGGCACTCTGCGGGATCGCTTGGCGCAGTGCGGAAGACGCGGGCGCTGCGTGGGCGTATGTCCTGGCACACTCGGGCAGCCCAGTGTTGATCTATGGGCCAGATGCTGAGGCGCCAGCAGTGCGCCGAGCCCTGGCGTTCCGTGCGGCAGTGGCGCGCGCGGCAGCCACGGCGGAGTGCGGGGGCAGGCATGTCAAGCCCAAGGGCGGAGCCTGCCCAGCCCTCGAGACGGAGGCGGTGCTTTGGCCCCCGCCCGAGTTCTCCCTCGTGTTGGTGGTAATGCGGTCTCGGGGCGAGAGGGGGCGCATTCTCGGCGTCGCAGCTTTTAATTTCTCGCACTGCGGTGTCGCCCTAGGTCTTCCAGAAGGACTGCACGGCCGCCTCTTGACGGAGGTACGTGGCGGCGATGGGCTGCAGCAGCCATCGATTTCTGGCCCGTGCAGTAGAGGGTCAGAGCTCGGTGGGCGCGAAGAGGTTGCCCCGAACACTGCGCGGCTGTTTCTCGTGGACCAGGCTTGCGCACAAGCGGTGGAAGATCCGAACGTGCCGCTGGTGCCTGCGCGCTTCACACTACTGTACTTCTCCGGCTGGTCGGCGCCCCACATACATTTCAGAATATGCGGCCATTGGAGCAGCCTGCCAGGCTGGCCTCTTGCCAGATCCGCGCCGCCGCCTGGGCGTGGCCCTGGCGAGTGCAGCAGCAAGTCCAAGTTTGGATGTTGGTGGCGCATTGCGATCCCACTGCCGTGTAGAGAATGTTGTGTAGAGTTCGTGCTGAACGACGGTGCTCCGGGAGGCGGGCCACAAAGCTGGGACAACCCAGTGATTGGCGGGAATTATTACATTCCGAAGCCTGGCACTTACGCGCTGGAGCGGGGCAGTGTTTGCCCCTTGAGCCGCGGCAGCCACTGAAGTCTGGGGTCGAGCCACAGGATACTCGGGCAGCGCAGTGAGTGCGCTTCTCTTCATTTCTCGGCAGTTCACCCGTCGAAGACATAATTTGGAGGCCCACACTTGTTGCCAAGAAGACGCCGCACTGTAACCAAATCGCACCACGGGCCGATTGGCCCTCTGGCCCACGTAAGCGTTTTCCATGAGGCCGCAGGCGATGTGCGAATTTGGCTGCAGGTGAACGTGACAGTGATGGCGCCTGTGTACATACAGGTAATCGAAGACGCCTACGGCGAATCACCGCCGCCCCCTGCCTTTTTGGAAGCGCCTATGTGGCCGAACGTTGAGGCCAGACCTGCCAAGCTATCGGACCGTGCGTTCCCCGAATCGATTTGGAAAGCCTTCGTGGAGCACGTAGGCATCTTGAAGGTCATCTTGGCCGTCTGGAGGCCATTTTGACCCTTTGGGGCCTTCTTGGAGGACGTCTTGGAGGGCTCTTGGGCCGTCTTGGAGACCATCTTGAGCGTCTTGGAGGCCTCTTGGGCCGTCTTGGGGACCTCGTGGGGCCGCCTCGGGCCGTCGGAAAGCCGAAAAAGCGCAAATGCCACAATCATTCAAAAACTCATCGGGAATCAATGAGTTGGGCCTTTTCCGGCCTTCCTAGAGGCCCTCTTGGAGGCCTCTTGGGCCGTCTTGGGCCATCTTAGGGCCATTTTCGGCCGTCTTGGTGGGTTCCTGGCCCGTCTGACGCCGTCGGAAGCCGTTTGGGGGGCCTCTCTGGGCCGACTTGGGGCCCTCTTGGGGTGCTCCAGGGCAGTCTTGGAGGCCATCTTGGGCGTCTTCAAGGCCTCCTGGGCCGTCTTGGGGGCCTCTTGGGGCCGTCTTGGGGGCCTCTTGGGCCGTTCTGGGGCCGTCTTGGAGGCCTCTTGGGCGATCTTTGGGGGCTCTTGGGCCGCCTCGGGCCGTCGGAAGGCCGAAAAGAAGCAAATGTCAAAATCCTTCAAAAACCTGAGGAAAATAAGTGTGTTGGCCTTTTCTGGCTTTCCTGGAGGCCCTCTTGGAGGCCTCCTGGGCCGTCTTGGGCCAGCTTCGAGCCAACTTCGGCCATCTTGGTGGGTTCCTGGCACGTCTGACGCAGTCGGGAGCCGTCTTGGGGGCCTCTTTGGGCCGACTTGGGGTCCTCTTTGGGCGCTTCGGGGCCGTCTTGGAGACCATCTTGGGCGTCTTGGAGGTCTCTTGGGCAGTCTTGGGGCCCTCTTGGGGCCGTCTTGGAGGCCTCTTGGGCCGTCATGGGGCCCTCTTGGAGGCCTCGTGGGCGATCTTGGGGCGATCTTGGCGGCCTCTTGGGCCGTCTTGAGCCGTCGGAATGCCGAGAAGAGGCAAATGCCAAAATCCTTCAAAAATCTTATGAAAATCAATGATTTTGGCCTCTTCGGGCCCTCCTGGAGCATCTCTTGGAGGCCTCTTGGGCCGTATTGAGGCCTCTTGGGCCATCGTGAGGCTATCTTACGCCATCTGGGTACATCTTAGGCCGTCTTGGAGGCATCTTGGGACCATCTTAGCCGTCTTGGAGGCCATCGTGGCCGTCTGGGATGCATCTTGGGCCGTCTTGGAGCCGTCTGGACCAGGAAAAACCCTTCGGAACCGGGTCGTGGCAATTTTTCGGCATCCTTTTGGGTGGCTGTCGGGACGCGCCAGAGGCCCAGGGGGAGGTTGGCAAAAGAACCAAACCCAAAACCCAAAGGGTCTAGCACGCCAGGCACCCCTACGATGAATCGACAGGGGGCGGCGGATCGAAAAAAAAAAAACTTAGGAAAATCCATGATTTTGCCTCTTCGGGCCTTCCTGGAGGCCCTCTTGGAGGCCTCTTGGGCCGTCTTGGAGGCCTCTTGGGCCGTCTTGGTCCATCTTCAGGCTATCTTAGGCCGTCTAGGGTACATCTTGGGCCGTCTTGGAGGCATCTTGGGGCCATCTTAGCCGTCTTGGAGGCCATCTTGGCCGTCTTGGAGGCATATGGGGGGCCATCTTGAGCCGTCTTGGAGGAAAAATTCGGAGAATTGAGCTCCCAGGCAATCCTCCCGGGACCCCGGCGGGACGGGCCGAAGCCCCAGGGGAAGTTCTTCATTGGAACAAGAACCAAAACCAAAGGCCATATCGTTCATCTCGTTCGGCACGCCAGGCACACCTTTGATCAATCGACAGGGGGCGGCGGGTCGAAGACGCCTACGGCGACTCACCGCCGCCCCCTGCCTTTTTGGAAGCGCCTGTGTGACCGAACGTTGAGGCCAGACCTGCCAAGCTATCGGACCATGTGTTCCCCGAATCGGTTTGGAAAGCCTTCGGGGAACACGTGGGCATCTTGAAGGTCATCTTGGCCGTCTGGAGGCCATTTTGACCCTGTCGGGCCTTCTCGGAGGACGTCTTGGAGGGCTCTTGGGCCGTCTTGGATGGAGGCCATCTTGAGCGTCTTGGAGGCCCCTTGGGCCGTCTTGGGGGCCTCTTGGGGCCGTCGTGGGCCTCTTGGGCGATCTTTGGGGGCACTTGGGCCGTCTCGGGCCGTCGAAGGCCGAACAAAGAGCAAATGCCAAAATCCTTCAAAAAATCATTGGGAATCAATGATTTTGGCCTTTGGGGGGCCTTCCTGGAGGCCCTCTTGGAGGCCTCTTGGGCCGTCTTGGGCCATCTTAGAGCCATCTTCGGCCGTCTTGGTGGGCTCCTGGCTCGTCTGACGCGGTCGGAAGCCGTTTGGGGGGCATCTCTGGGCCGACTCGGGGCCCTCTTGGGGTGCTCCAGGGCCGTCTTGGAGGCCATCTTGGGCGTCTTCAAGGGCCGTCTTCGGGCCCTCTTGGGGCTGTCTTTTGGGCGTCATGGGCCGTCATGGGGCCATCTTGGAGGCCCCTTGGGCGATCTTGGAGCGATCTTGGGAGCCTCTTCGGCCGTCTTGGGCCGTCGGAAAGCCGAAAAGGCGCAAATGCCAAAACCCTTCAAAAACCTTGGAAAATCCATGAGTTTGCCTCTTCGGGCCTTCCTGAAGGATGTCTTGGATGGCTCTTGGGCCGTCTTGGAGACCTCTTGCGGGCCTTTTGGGCCGTCGTAGATTATCTTGAGGCCATCTTGGGTGCATCTTGGAGCCATCTTAGCCGTCTTTGAGGCCATCTTGGTTGTCTTGGAGGCATATTGGAGGCCATCCTGGGCCATCTTGGCCGTCTTGGAGGCCATATCGGGCCAACTTGGCGCAACAAAGGCATTGACAAATGGATTTTCGGGAATCTCCCGGGACCCCGGCAGGACGGGCCGAAGCCCCAGGGGGGGTTTGGGGGGAAAAAGAACCAAAACCAAAACCGCAAGGGTCTATCACGCCAGGCACCCCTGCGATGAATCGACAGGGGGCGGCGGATCGAAGACGCCTACGGCGACTCACCGCCGCCCCCTGCCTTTTTGGAAGCGCCTGTATGGCCGAACGTTGAGGCCAAACCTGCCATGCTATCGGACCATGTGTTCCCCGAATCGGTTTGGAAAGCCTTCGGGGAACACGTGGGTATCTTGAAGGTCATCTTGGCCGTCTGGAGGCCATTTTGACCCTGTCGGGCCTTCTCGGAGGACGTCTTGGAGGGCTCTTGGGCCGGGGTGTGCCAGAATGGGGGGTGGAACCGCATGCGGGCGCAGCCACTGGGGCCTTCGGTGGAGCTCCCTATGGGGCCACGAAACGTGTGAGGAGTGTGCCAGAATGGGGGGTGGAACCGCATGCGGGCGCAGCCACTAGGGCCTTCGGTGGAGCTCCCTATGGGGCCACGAAACGTGTGAGGGGTGTGCCAGAACGGGGGGTGGAACCGCATGCGGGCGCAGCCACTGGGGCCTTCGGTGGAGCTCCCTATGGGGCCACGAAACGTGTGAGGGGTGTGCCAGAATGGGGGGTGGAACCGCATGCGGGCGCAGCCACTGGGGCCTTCGGTGGAGCTCCCTATGGGGCCACGAAACGTGTGAGGGGTGTGCCAGAATGGGGGGTGGAACCGCATGCGGGCGCAGCCACTGGGGCCTTCGGTGGAGCTCCCTATGGGGCCACGAAACGTGTGAGGGGTGTGCCAGAATGGGGGGTGGAACCGCATGCGGGCGCAGCCACTGGGGCCTTCGGTGGAGCTCCCTATGGGGCCACGAAACGTGTGAGGGGTGTGCCAGAATGGGGGGTGGAACCGCATGCGGGCGCAGCCACTGGGGCCTTCGGTGGAGCTCCCTATGGGGCCACGAAACGTGTGAGGGGTGTGCCAGAATGGGGGGTGGAACCGCATGCGGGCGCAGCCACTGGGGCCTTCGGTGGAGCTCCCTATGGGGCCACGAAACGTGTGAGGGGTGTGCCAGAATGGGGGGTGGAACCGCATGCGGGCGCAGCCACTGGGGCCTTCGGTGGAGCTCCCTATGGGGCCACGAAACGTGTGAGGGGTGTGCCAGAATGGGGGGTGGAACCGCATGCGGGCGCAGCCACTGGGGCCTTCGGTGGAGCTCCCTATGGGGCCACGAAACGTGTGAGGGGTGTGCCAGAATGGGGGTGGAACCGCATGCGGGCGCAGCCACTGGGGCCTTCGGTGGAGCTCCCTATGGGGCCACGAAACGTGTGAGGGGTGTGCCAGAATGGGTGTGGGAGGGGGAGGAGGGGGGAGGAAGGGGAGGAGGAGGAAGGAGGAGGAGGAGGAAGGAACGCGGGGCGACGTCTCTTCAAAACGAGGACCCAACACCACAGGATGGTTGGGAAATATGATACCAGAGAAAAACCCAAATCATAATCTTTTTAGGGCTGTAGGGCTACAGGGCTATCTGGGCTCTTGGGCGCTATATGGGCTATATGGCTATTTGGGTTGTAGGGCGATAGGGATATAGGGCTATAAGGCTATAGGGCTATAGGGCACCGGGCACCCGGGCACCCGGCACCCGGCACCCGGGCACCCACCCGGGCACCGGGCACCCGTCACCCGGGCACCCGGGCACCCGGGCATCCGGGCACCTAGGCCCGGCCACCGAATCGGCGG